ATCGTTCCCCTCTATTCGACATTGGTGAGGCCTCATCTGGAGTACTGTGTCCAGTTTTGGGCCCCACACTTCAAGAAGGATGTGGATAAATTGGAGAGAGTCCAACGAAGGGCAACAAAAATGATTAGGGGTCTGGAACACATGAGTTATGAGGAGAGGCTGAGGGAGCTGGGATTGTTTAGCCTGCAGAAGAGAAGAATGAGGGGGGATTTGATAGCTGCTTTCAACTACCTGAAAGGGGGTTCCAAAGAGGATGGCTCTAGACTGTTCTCAATGGTATCAGATGACAGAACGAGGAGTAATGGTCTCAAGCTGCAGTGGGGGAGGTTTAGATTGGATATTAGGAAAAACTTTTTCACTAAGAGGGTGGTGAAACAATGGAATGCGTTACCTAGGGAGGTGGTAGAATCTCCTTCCTTAGAGGTTTTTAAGGTCAGGCTTGACAAAGCCCTGGCTGGGATGATTTAACTGGGAATTGGTCCTGGTTCAAGCAGGGGGTTGGACTAGATGACCTTCTGGGGTCCCTTCCAACCCTTATATTCTATGATTCTATGATTCTATGATACCAGTTGGCTCCATTTCCACTGAAATGACATTTCCAGTGAAATGTCCCAGATTGCATCAGGCTGTTATGTCAAAGCTACCTGAAAATTATACTGGGGTCAGCCAAATCCTATTTTCTCATAGTTGGAGTGGCTGTCAAAAGGTCGCAGTGATTTCTGCTTTCTAACTAGTCTTGGAAGGCTTAGATTGCTATTGGTAAATGTTGGTGAACATTGATTTCACTGTGCAACCACAAACTGACAAAAAAAGTATTTCGAGTGATGACCGTCAAAATTTACAGATAGGCAAAATAAGAAAAATGCTGCTGGAGAACTTATTAGAGTTTGATTTTAAGGTTATTTAATTTATATAGTTTGACGTGTGATGCTGACAATTTGTGTTTTAACAGTTATAAACAGTTATAACTTTTTGAATCTCAATGGCTGCTCTCATTTAATTATAGTCTACTTCCTTTCCCCCCTGCTCATACAATTTCCTTCAACAGTGAAAATTTACATGGATAAAAATGTTTAAAAATGAACATATATATTATGTGTCAAAATTATAAAAAAATAACACAGCGGAATTCTGCCAAGCATACTTCTTAGATAATAAAAAGAGAAACACTGAAAACTGTGCTATATGCAAAATAAGAGGCTCCTATGGGCCTGCTCTGTGCTCCAGAAGAATTTTCTGGTAGCCGCGAAATCATCTAATCTGCAGTGCTGCACTGGAGCTGGGAAATGCAGCTTTATAGGCTGTTAAAAAAAAGTTTTGGGTTCAGGTCGGATGTCCCACTTGCCCTGGTTAGAAGAGGGGGTGTTAAGAACATAGCGGTAACATACGTGAAGTTGTGGGCATTTTGTTGGTCATATAATAAGGGTTTACAGCAATAGAATTATAAAGTGAAGTTTTATTTTAAGTACAAAATCCTCGTGGTTGTGTTGTGATGGGTTGTGTACACTCCACACTGGATGAGTGCAGGAGTTGGAAGGGACCTCAGGAGGTCATCTAGTCCAACCCTCTGCTCAAAGCAGGACCAATCCACAATTAAATCATCCCAGCCAGAGCTTTGTCAAGCCTGACCTTAAAAACCTCAAAGGAAGGAGATTCCACCACCTCCCTAGGTAACCCATTCCAGTGGTTCACCACCCTCCTAGTGAAAAGTTTTTCCTAATGTCCCCCACCCTAAACCTCCCCCACTGCAACTTGAGACCATTACTCCTCGTTCTATCATCTGCTACCACTGAGAACAGTCTAGATCCATCCTTTTTGGAACCCCCTTTCAGGTAGTTGAAAGCAGCTATCAAATCCCCCCTCATTCTTCTCTTCCGCAGACTAAACAATCCCAGTTCCCTCAGCCTCTCCTCATAAGTCATGTGTTCCAGTCCCCTAATCATTTTTGTTGCCCTCCGCTGGACACTTTCCAGTTTTTCCACATCCTTCTTGTAGTGTGGGGCCCAAAACTGGACACAGTACTCCAATGTCTCACCAATGATGAGGCCTCACCAATGTCGAATAGAGGGGAACGATCATGTCCCTCGATCTGCTGGCAATGCCCCTACTTATACACCCCAAAATGCCATTGGCCTTCTTGGCAACAAAAGCACAGTTGACTCATATTCAGCTTCTCGTTCACTGTAACCACTAGGTCCTTTTCTGCAGAACTGCTGCCAAGCCATTCGGTCCCTAGTCTGTAGCAGTACATGGGATTCTTCTGTCCTAAGTGCAGGACTCTGCACTTGTCTTTGTTGAACCTCATCAGATTTCTTTTGGCCCAATCCGCTAATTTGTCTAGGTCCATCTTTATCCTAGCCCTACCCTCCAGCGTATCTACCAATCCTCCCAGTTTAGTGTCATCTGCAAACTTGCTGAGGGTGCAGTCCACGCCATCCTCCAGATCATTAATGAAGATATTGAACAAAACCGACCCCAGGATTGACCCTTGGGGCACTCTGCTTGCTACCGACTACCAACTAGACATGGAACCATTGATCACTACTCGTTGAGCCCGACAATCTAGCCATCTTTCTATCCACCTTATAGTCCATTTATCCAGCCCATACTTCTTTAACTTGCTGGCAAGAATACTGTGGGAGACCGTATCAAAAACTTTGCAAAAGTCAAGAAATAACACGGCCACTGCTTTCCCCTCATCCACAGAGCCAGTTATCTCATCATAGAAGGCAATTAGATTAATCAGGCATGACTTGCCCTTGGTGAATCCATGCTGACTGTTCCTGATCACTTTCCCCTCCTCTAAGTGCTTCAGAATTGATTCGTTGAGGACCTGCTCCATGATTTTTCCGGGGACTGAGGTGAGGCTGACTGACCTGTAGTTCCCCGGATCCTCCTCCTTCCCTTTTTTTATAGATGGGCACTACATTAGCCTTTTTCCAGTCATCGAGGACTTCCCCCGATCGCCATGAGTTTTCAAAGATAAAAACTGTCCTAGAGACAGGGACTTATCTGTCCTATCCTGCCATCCCTGTCAGAAGTAACAAGCTGTACGTAATTAGGAAGGAATAATAATATAAAATGGGTGTGGAAGGGCTCAAAGACAGTTTCCCTGAACAAGAGAACACCCATCTCTAGAGGCTTAGAGCTCTAGATGTGTAGGCCTGGGACAAGCGCTGCAAGTGAGACAGCGGGAAGGGAAAGCTCAATCAGTAATTAGTGAGTGGCCAGAACAGACTAGGATTCCCGAGGGACAAACTGTGTGTGGGTTTTTGTTACCTCTGAGAGACTTTGACCACTGTCTACATGGAGGACTTTTAGTGTAATATCTGGGAACTTTGCACGTTTTCATGAAGATAAAGAGTTGTCCAGCTAGTGCCGCAGGACAATAAGTGTAAAGAGACCGATGTCTGGAGACACTCAAAGCAACTCTTATGAGGTTGCCTTTTATTTTCTCAATTATCCTCCCATTTTTCTGTCCTGGGATGAATGCAGCACATGGAGGCGTCTACCAGTAATCCAGGGGCAAAAAAAATGTATACTTGAAAGTCAGACTTCACCTTCTGTGTTCATTATTTCCTCACTTGGAATCCTGGAGACCTGCTCACACTCTTCTGATTCCAGCCCTTTCCTAGCGCTTCCCTGTTGGGAATGGAAAGAAACTAGTACTTGGATGGGAGACTTCTAAGGAAAACCCAGGTGCTGTGGGAAGTGGTATTAATTATCTAATTAGTACTGTTCCCTTTAACTCAGTCCTGGACCAGAGCTCCAGATTGGTGTTAAGGTCCTGTGTGCTGCTGAAGCTACAATTCTGTAGATGACAGCACCTCAGGAAAGTAACTGTTTCTCATAGAATGCTGAGCACACTGTCAGCTCTTAACAAATAACCACTAAGGGCATGACCACTTACATTCATTGGGGCACTTTTTGTACAAGTGAACGTTGGTGCTGGTGTGAAAAAGCTGTCAGGGGTCAGTAATGAAAGTATCTTTCCATTTAAAACATGAATAAATTCAAATATACAAGAAAAGTGCGTGGGAAAATGTCAAAGCTCAGAAAGTTACTTACTTGTGCAAGACTGAGAGCATGATTAAGATAAAATGCTAAAGTGGATTGGAGGAGGCACTTCATAAAACTATAGTAGAACAGGTTTCAGAGTAACAGCCGTGTTAGTCTGTATTCGCAAAAAGAAAAGGAGTACTTGTGGCACCTTAGAGACTAACCAATTTATTTGAGCATGAGCTTTCGTGAGCTACAGCTCACTTCATCGGATGCATACCGTGGAAACTGCAGCAGACTTTATATATACACAGAGAATGTGAAACAATACCTCCTCCCACCCCACTGTCCTGCTGGTAATAGCTTATCTAAAGTGATCATCAGGTGGGCCATTTCCAGCACAAATCCAGGTTTTCTCACCCTCCACCCCCCCCACACAAATTCACTCTCCTGCTGGTGCTAGCTCATCCAAACTGACCACTCTCCAAGTTTAAATCCAAGTTAAACCAGAACATCTGGGGGGGGGGGGGGGTTAGGAAAAAACAAGAGGAAACAGGCTACCTTGCATAATGACTTAGCCACTCCCAGTCTCTATTTAAGCCTAAATTAATAGTATCCAATTTGCAAATGAATTCCAATTCAGCAGTTTCTCGCTGGAGTCTGGATTTGAAGTTTTTTTGTTTTAAGATAGCGACCTTCATGTCTGTGATTGCATGAACAGTTTAACATAGACTGACTTGGCTTGTTCATGCTTTCTAAATTGTTTATTGTGTGCTTAATCATATTTAAAGTTCTTGACACACTATGCAAAAAAAGGTTGCAGAGAAAAGATATAAGTATTTGGACACTCTGTTTGAAAGTACATCTTTGTTGGTATATTCTCAATATAGAAATGTTTTATTACATCTTCAGGGTTTTTGTTTTCCCTGATAGATCTCTCCAAATAGCATTGCAGAGATAGTTTGTACTGTTTCTAAGCGTTGTTTTTGAATGTGTTTTAGACTCTGCATGCAACAGTGCTCCTGGATCTGGTCCCAGTTCTCCAAACAACAGCTCTAATAATATAAGTGCTGAGAATGGAATTACAGGATCAGTCACAAGTATTCAAGCAGAGGTACAGAACTGCTCTTTACCTTGGGTTTAACACTTGTGCTTCCAATGAACTTGTGGGAGCTATAAAATATACAGGGAACGGTGAACCTTGAGTTGGATGGCTACTCTCCTAACCAGTGAAGATTTGAATGTGTTGGAAACATAACATGCTTAGTCTGCATTTGCTCATAAATATCTGTGCTTGGGGTAACTGCCAGTAGCCATAATATGGATTGATAGATTTAAAAAAGGAAAGGAACATTGGGGGGAAATCTTGAAGAGGGTTCCTTTCTCAAATACAGGTTGCCAACTCTCTTGAGTATTTTAAAATGCTGGATATTTATTTTCATGCTTTACAATGTTGAATAACTTCATTTTATACAGAGGATTAATACAAGCATTGTTCAGTTACAGGGATGGAGGAATATAATGTTACCTGGTTTAAGTTCCTTCTCCCCCGCTCAGTACTCAAAGGCTTTCTGTAGTGTGTTGACGTTTGCCACCAAATTTTAGCATCCTCCCACCTTTATGCAGTTTAAATCTTAGCTTTTGTTAACCTTTGTTTTTAAATTGCATCTTTCCATAACTGATTATTATTAATAAATAATTCCATAAACTGCAGGGTGTCTGCACCATCCTCCTAAACATCTGGTGTTGGCCACTGTCAGGGACAGGATGCTAGATTAGAGTTGGGTCTGATCTAGTCTGGCAATTCCTACGTTCCTGTTATTGAATCTGAAAATATGTGACCCTCTCTGTCATTTTGTAACCTTCACGTTTGGAAAGGTGGTGTGTAATTATCCAGACCCTGCTGCTGTATTTCGCATTGCAGGCTTCACATTTGCTGTTTCCCTTAAATATTATTCATGCATTTACATTTATAAACTTTCCTGACAAAGCAGAATTTTGGTTTAATCACACTGTCCTCCAACTTGTAATTTTGGAGAGTGGAAAGGTGTTTTTTGAAGCATAAATCCAGGCTATTTGAGCTTTCTAAGTTTGTACAGACTTTGGCTCAATTAGCATTTCTAATACTGCATAACACACAGTTTTAAAAACCTTCAATCAAAATATATCATGGACCTCATAACACAGTCACTCATGCAGTACAGCATTGGTCACTTCGCCTGACACAATACACCACGGCTGTTCTAAAGAGGTTGGCTGAGATTCTGGTTTGGGCTTTATAAAAGGAACAATAGTTCTATTTCATGTGTTTCGTAGAACTCTGGCAGCATGGGGAAGGGTAATTATAGCATCCACAGTAACAACAGCTTTACTTAAGGCTACATACTGTATGCGTTTCCATGACAAAACCCTCATTTCAGTTGCTCCTGACTTTGTTCAGTGAGACTGCTCTAGTATGGCTGCCGGAGGATTTGGTGTCCTCCCAAATGGAATTGAGCTACCAATTCTGTTGATATGTGAACCAGAAGAGAAATCCAGCTGCCCTTCTCTCTGAAGTTTCACTTCTGATAGCAAAAGTCAGACTCACCAGTCAGGGTTGAATCACTGCTGGATTCTGGGCTCATGTGTCTTTGTAGCCCTTTGGCTAGTAGAGGCATACGCTTCACTTGTTCACTCTACACTGCTCCCAGGAGTGAAAGTAATAACAATGACTTGTTACTACAGCCAGTCCTTCTTCCCCTCAGCGTCCTGCTCTTATTGCATCTTTAGCAGAAGGAGCGTAGGCAGTTGGGGACTGCTGAGAGACTCATAACCTCAGCTACAAATATTCAGTCTTGCACAGGAAAGCTTGCACTGTTCCAAAGGGCACAGCTTCCCCAAAATCAGTGTTCTGGGAGGGCTCATCCCACGAGTGTGGATATGCAGAGGCAACACTCTCTCCAAATAACTTTGCTTTTTGCAAATGAATGTATTACTTCACCAAGGCTATAATTCCAGTCGTTAGTAAGGTCTGCAGAAAAAATCTTTTAGATACACATGCTGTTGCAAGCATTTGGTGTCCAGTTTCAGTGACTACCTATTCCGTCTTGTAAAGCAGTGAAGTCATAATTTTAAGATTGAGGCATGAGTGATGCCAGACATGTAAAGTCTGTCTATTGCCAAAACAGTTCTCCAGACATGTGAAGATACCTGTCTCTTTCCCCCACCCGTTTCACAGTTTTACTACAGTGTCTCATTCATAAAAACATAAGAGCTGCCATACTGGGTCAGACCGTGGTCCTTCTTGCCCAGTATCCTGTCTCTGACAGTGGCCTGTACCAGAGCTTCAGGAGGAGTGTAAAGAACAAGGTAATTATGAAGTGATCCACCCTGTCTTACACTCCTGCCTTCTGTCAATCACAAGTTTAGGGTCGCGCTGAGCATAGGGTTGCATCCCTGACCATTTTGGCTAATAGCCATTGATGGACCTATCCTCTATGAATGTATCTAGTTCTTTTTTGAACCCCATTATGTTTTTGTCCTTCACAACATCCCATGGCAATGAGTTTCACAGGTTAATTTTGTGTTGTGTGAAAAAGTACTTTCTCTTGTTTGTATTAAACCTTCTGACTATTTAATTTCATCAAATGATCCCTGGTTTTTGTATTGTGTAAAAGGTAAATAACACTTTTCTATTAATTTTTTCTACACCTTAGTCCTGGTACATGTGAGAAGAATTCCATTGTGATCTATGAATTAATTTAAACTGAAACGCTTTAATGTAGCCTCCCAAAGCAACCTATGTGAAAAGTAAAAAATGTTCTTCTGCTGTTTCTCTGAAAATTGCACCCAGAATTTTCTCACCTGTTTTATAATTTTATGGAAGAGAGCAAGAATATAGTCTGTAAGCTATGGTGCTGTAGTGATTTTAGAAGTAGGTGTGATATGAACAATTAGTCCACTAGATCTTTGAGACCACAGTCCACAGGAAACCTCACAACCCACTAATGGATGACTCATCATTTTTGATAACCTATTGCACTAACTCTCTGGCTGTCTACAGATCTTAAAATTTATTCTGTTAATTAAATCTTCCCTATCCTCAACATTCTCATCTGCCGAAAACTGGTCATGCCCTTTGTTACCAATTCTTTTCTGTAAGCACTGGATATTTCATGATGGTAACTGAGCCATTCCTCTAAACTTTTCTGCATGCATTTGTCAGGGGCTATCCAAATGCAGTTAATTAAGACAGCATTTTAAATGCAGATATTTCCTTTCAAATGAAGCTTGTATACATCAGGAAATAACATTACCCAATTACTGCTTGCTTCCATGTATCTTGTAAAAGGCCAATGTAATGCACACACCAGACTCCAATTTCTGTATTACCCCAAATAACAGACTGTCTCCTATAAATCAGACCCATTTCCACTTTGTATATTGTAAATAGTCAACAATTTCTGAGCAATTAGTCTTCTAATATGATAGTTTCACATTTACCTGAGTGTTTGGTTTTAAATGAGAAATGTGTATATTTGCATATCAGTTGATCAGAGATTCATCTCTGGACCCATACCAAATGGGAAAACTGATCATTTTTATATTATTTAAATTAAAATACTTGCCTCAAGTGTAGAAAGCATACAGCTCCATTCTGTTCACAGTGGATAAATAGCATTTATTTTTTAAATATTGTGTTAAATTTAACAATGTTTTTTCCACCTGTGCGAGGCTATTTGACAGACACTGACCTTTTATTTCACATAAAGCTTTAAAAAGTGCTGCCTGAGTAGACAAAAGCTGTAGCTGCTGGGTGTGTGCTCTGCTCTGTATTTCCACCGCATTTATGTACAATTCATAGACAGATTCAGTATATTTAGATGATGATAATGGAACTGAAATTTTGTGAGCGCAATTAGTTTCAAGCTGTTGTGTTTTTCATTCAGTTGTGCTTAATACAAATAAACCCCCCGAGACTATTTGAGGCACAACTAAATGGGGATTTGACTGTTTAAAGTGTAAATTGATGTAATTTTGTTACTTTTATGAGATCAGTACCCCGTAAAAGTGAGGAAAAGATGTCAGTAACTCACCCACAGTATATGCCTCATTTTCAGCATGTGGTGCAGTAACGTTGCATTTACGCTTTAAGCAAAATTTCTAAGAAGTGTTCAAAATCACCCTGGCAAATAAGTGAGTGGAAACACAAACAAGTTTTTTACGATTTTGCCTTGGTGTTCGTGTGGGTGCCAGTGGAAATATTTAACAACTACAGAGAAATTAGCAATGACAAGACCTTTGTGATAGATCTGTTCTTCAACATGTTTTTAATAATTATGATTGACAAGATTGCAATTACACAGGAGGAGACTTTAGAAATGGAAAGAACCTCACTTGGCAAATTGAACTTAGCTTGAGCATATGTGAGAACTAGATACCTTTACTACTAAGGAAATGAATAACTGACTAATGTCAAATTAAACCATTTATTTGGAAATGCAGAGTCTTTGGCTGTAAAGATGGCAAATGCAATCTTGTAAAGATATCATTGCTACACTTGTCTATGATCCTCTCTCACAGGAATAGCTTTAATGTTACTGTTTTCAGCAATTCCAGTTTCATTCGTCAATACATCAGATTTTTCTTTTAGAGAATATTTCTATATAGAAGACTTGCTTTTCAATAGTAAATGTTAAACATGTGCTCTTCCTTTTGTGGATTGCAACATCATTACTTTATCTTGCAAAGTTCAGTGCGAGTTCCTTCAATGGAGTTCAAAGATAACTAGCTTTCTTTTCATCATCCAAAATTGGCCTAATCCGGCACCCATTGAAGTCAATTGCAAGTTCCTATTGACTTCGGTGCTACAGAATCAGGCATAATATGAGGCAACAACCTCTAAAACTCCAAAAGATTAAAATCCCTTCATGGCCATGCTGACATGTATCAATCTATAGAATGATGAAATACTTTATTGTACCCATCATATACCTGTTTTTCTAAGCATCAGAGTTAAAAACTGTCACTGCATGAGAAATGTTATAGAAAATGTCTTTTTTTATATATTTGTTTAAACTCCTAGGATTGAAAACAATATCCACTCCATAATTCATTGCCATCAACATAACTATTTTCTAATCAGGGCTTCAGACACCTTTCAATAACTACAGTTAATATTTGCAATAAATATTTTAGTCTGTATTTGTAAGCAATCACTGCTGTGAAATTAAAAATGACTGTTACACTTCCGTGGTGCCGCATTAGCTGGCTATAACGTAATCCTCCCAGTTAATTGCACATTCCTTCCCTGAAAATCAAGAAATATCCACCTAAGACGAACATCCTGGCTCTTTAATGGAGCTTTACCTTGTGTTTAAACCAACTTGATGCTGAATGATGCATTTCATACTGTCCTTGGCCTGGCTGACGAGAACATCCATCCTGTGTAACGTAAAATTTGTTTTTTTAAAAACACCTTTTTTAGCCATGTAGTTCAAGGAACAAATGAGCCATGGAGGCTCCCTTGATAGACAAACCGATGTTTCCTGCACAAAGGGTTAAAGAAAACTCTCCAGGGTCATGTAGAGCAGTTTGTGGGGGTGGGAAAGGTGTTCCAGCGTGTGGGAGGAAACCATTGCTGCATGGATCTTCCAGTTCTCAGCTCATGTTGGGGCTATGAATGGGTCAGAGGCTACTGTAGCCATTCAGTTGGATTAGCCCTATCAGAGCATCTCTGCTACCTTTGTGGGAGGATTACACATCCATAAGTGAATCCACCCCATGCCTATCCCATCTACTTGGGCTGGGTACTGGGCACAGATTAGCCCCTACATTCGGAATCTTTTGGTATCAGAAGTGAAGTTATCTGCCTTCTATTTTTCTTTCTTGTTCCCTTTTCTGATGTGCTTTATACTTAAGGTGATTCACGAATTAGGCAGACTATAATGTGGCTCCTGTCTATCCTCTTTACATTATCTGATTGTTCCAGTTTTCTTAATTCAATTTCCAGACCAGCCTGGCTCACAGACTAGTGAATCGTGAAGGCTCAGTAACACAGCTTCCTCTGTACACATCTCCTTCCTTGCCCAACATAACGTTAGGCTTGCCTGCAACTGGACCTGCAAGTGTAAGTGATGTTTAATGTTGTCTTTGGGATTGTGGTTGCACTGACTCGTTCATAAGCTGAACACTTTACTGGTTGTATATTTGCAGGGGGGATCAGGACAGCAGGATGCCGAGAGACTTGCTATTCCAACCCTACAACAGCGGCTTTCCTTATTTCCTGGCACTCACCTCACTCCTTACTTGAGCACTACGACGTTGGAAAGGGATGGGGGAACTTCACATAACTCTCTTCTGCAACACATGGTCTTACTGGAACAACCAACTGCACAAACTCCCTTAGTCACAGGTGAGCATACCAAAGCTCGTGTGCAAAGGCTAAGATATGCAGCTCCTAACTGGGGGAGTGGTACAATCCATTTCAATTTATTGCAGTCTTCTTCATGAAAGGAATAAGGGAATACTAGTTATCTCTGAAATCATATATGTTTATGACATGGAGCATGTATTGTTGATGTCATGGGCACCTACAACATTGGAAAAGGTCTGTGATTGGCCAAATTACACGTCTTTAAGAGATAGGAGGAGGCTAACGTTGTTTGTCATTATGTCAGGATTAAGATAAACTAGTTTATAAATATAAATCTGTTAGTATTTTAATAGTAGAACCCTACCCAGTTTGATCAAAGTAACAGTGAGAAGGTATTTTCTTAGCAAAAATTACAATTTTTTTTACAATTTACTGTGTTTAGTACTTACAATTACTGCATAGCTGCTATCCTTTTTACAAAACCAAAAGTGTGTTTTCATTTTAAAATGTAATATTAAAAGCACAGTCTGTCTAATAATAATAAGTCTTTCAATTGTAACTAAATCTGTTAAATTTCAAAAGATAATAAATTAGTGGTGTTTCATATTCATTATTAAGATTTCAAAAACTGTCAATAATCCCTTTGAATCTGAGCCCTGTGTTGTACTCTCAAACTTATCCAGATTGAAATGTCACTAGAGGAGGTTTTGGAATTAATTGAGAAACTTAACAGTAACAAGTCACTGGGACCAGATGGCATTCACCCAAGAGTTCTGAAAGAACTCAAATGTGAAATTGCGGAACTATTAACTATGGTTTGTAACCTGTCCTTTAAATCACCTACTGTACCCAATAACTGGAAGATAGCTAATGTAACGCCAATATTTAAAAAGGGCTCTAGAGGTGATCCTGGCAATTACAGACCGGTAAGTCGAACGTCAGTACCTGGCAAATTAGTTGAAACCATAGTAAAGAATAAAATTGTCAGACACATAGAAGAAAATAAATTGTTACACAAAAGTCAACATGGCTTCTGTAAAGGGAGATCATGTCTTACTAATCTATTAGAGCTCTTTGAGGGGCTCAACAAACGTGGACAAGGGGAATCCAGTGGACATAGTGTACTTAGATTTCCAGAAAGCCTTTGACAAGGTCCCTCACCAAAAGCTCTTATATAAATTAAGTTGTCATGGGATAAGAGGGAAGATCCTTTCATGGATTGAGAACTGATTAAAAGACAGGGAACAATGGGTAGAAATAAATGGTAAATTTTCAGAATGGAGAGGGGTAAGTAGTGGTGTTCCCCAAGGGTCAGTCCTTGGACCAATCCTATTCAACTTATTCATAAATGATCTGGAGAAAGGGGTAAACAGTGAGGTGGCAAAGTTTGCAGAAGATACTGAACTGCTCAAGATAGTTAAGACCAAAGCAGACTGTGAAGATCTTCAAAAAGATCTCACAAAACTAAGTGATTGGGCAACAAAATGGCAAATGAAATTTAATGTGGACAAATGTAAAGTAATGCACATTGGAAAAAATAACCCCAACTATACTCACAATATGATGGGGCCAATTTATCTATAACTAATCAGGAGAAAGATCTTGGAGTCATCGTGGACAGTTCTCTGAAGACGTCCACACAGTGTGCAGCGGCAGTCAAAAAAGCAAACGGAATGTTAGGAATCATTAAAAAAGGGATAGAGAATAAGATGGAGAATATCTTATTGCCCTTATATAAATCCATGGTATGCCCACATCCTGAATACTACGTACAGATGTGGTCCCCTCATCTCAAAAAGGATATACTGACATTGGAAAAGGTTCAGAAAAGGGCAACTAAAATGATTAGAGGTTTGGAACAGGTCCCATATGAGGAGAGATTAAAGAGGCTAGGACTTTTCAGCTTGGAAAAGAGGAGACTAAGGGGGGATATGATAGAGGTATATAAAATCATGAGTGGTGTGGAGAAAGTGAATAAGGAAACATTATTTACTTGTTCCCATAATATAAGAACTAGGGGCCACCAAATGAAATTAATGGGCAGCAGGTTTAAAACAAATAAAAGGAAGTTGTTCCTCACACAGCGCACAGTCAACCTGTGGAACTCCTTGCCTGAGGAGGTTGTGAAGGCTAGAAATATAACAGGGCTTAAGAGAGAAATGGATAAATTCGTGGAGGTTAAGTCCATTAATGGCTATTAGCCAGGATGGGTTAGGAATGGTGTCCCTCGCCTCTGTTTGTCAGAGGGTGGAGATGAGTGGCAGGAGAGAGATCACTTGATCATTACCTGTTAGGTTCACTCCCTCTGGGACATCTGGCATTGGCCACTGTTGACAAACAGGATACTGTGCTGGATGGACCTTTGGTCTGACCCAGTATAGCCATTCTTATGTTCTTATGTGAGTGGTTGACTGGAGACACATATTTGCTCTAAGAAGAGTAAATAGAAAGCAGTGGCCACCTTTGAATCATGTTTCTGGTCTATGCTTTCCAATATCGGGCTAAGGTGGAAGATGCAAGAAAGCATGCAGTGGTACTTAAATTGCTGAGAAACTTTGGTTTTTATATCTTGGATGATGTTTAAATTTGAAAAGCAAAATCCTTAACGGTGCTGGTTATCAAAACCTCACATCGAAGTCTCAGGATTTGGCCCCTTATAGACAGTGTTCTACGTTTTAATCCCCACAACTCCCAATGTGTCAGGATAATAAACCTTTATGTGTGGGGAAGCTGAGACAGAGAGAATCAATTTCATGAGATTTAGTAGTATGTGCACATTTTATGAAGCTTAATGTACTTTTCTATGCTTATCAACATCGGAACACAGAATTCTAAATTAGTATGTACTGTTGTTATATTGGTACATCCTTGATATTCTACCCGTCTAGAACAAACAAGTGATTTCCTATTTTAGCATTAATGCCATTTTCTCCTTATCCACATATCCTTTCCCTAGCCCCTTCTCTGCCATGAGCAGCTCAGCAGGAGGTTTTGGTTCTAAGTACTTGGCAATTCTTTCTCTCAGGCAGGTATGTAGATTGTAACAATGGGCCTTCAATAGACCTTGCTGCTCTGGGGGCAGGCAGAGCCCTTTCCACGGACCAGCTGTCCAATCTGTTCAGTTTCCAGAATTTTGCAGGAGATAGGACACCATCTGCTACAGAGCAGGAGGACAGGGAACCCTCTAATTTTTCCCTCCAGAGTTCCTTAACTTTGCTGCAGTTTGGACTCAAGGCATTTTTAATCAAATTGGCTCCAATTTTTGCTGGATTTTAGTTTTGATCAGTTTTTCTGAAGTGCTGCTATGGCTCTTCCTTGCTGGTGTCTTGACCACCATTCAAAAATGACACATCTTCTCAGTGAGGAGAAGAAAAGTCTGTCCTGTGCTCTTCCAGAGCATAGCAAAAGAAATTGTTCCCCTTTGGAACTGGAGGAAAACCTCCAATATTGTGTACAGGGTTTTCTTTGAAGCTGCTAGATCTCCTTTAACTGCTAGATCTCCCTTAACCCCAACCACATCCTTTCTCTCCCCTCCCGCGCAACAAAGAGGTCACCAAAGGTCACAGCATTCCATTGTCCAGGAGCAGCACCACAATACCCAGCAAGCCAAAACTGAGTTTGCAAAAGCTTCCAAGGCCCCTTTCAGACTGGCTGCCAGGTCTGCTGTGTATGCAGTCCCTTCCAGGTGGCAGAAGGAGCAGCATCCCTCTGAGTCATTAGGCGGGGAATCACATTCTCCTCTCTGCACAGGCAAGTGGACCCAAGAAGTGTCAGTTGGTGCAAAAGGCAGCAGCCTGTTCTGAGTTGGTCACTGGGAGTGCAGGACAGATTTCGGGTGGGATTTACAGCGTAGCGTTTTCCTTATAAAGTTCTACATAGCCTGCGACTTACCCAACTTGAGCACCTCTGTCCCCGTGCCATGCTGCTGCAGCTCTCATCGGCATGACTTCTTGATTTAAAACATTGGTTTTCAACCTTTTTCCATTTGCGGACCCCTAAAAATTTTCAAATGGAGGTTTGGGTCCTCCTGAAAATCTTTGAGGGGGGACCACACGTTGAAACCACTGATTTAAAAGACAAAGGGAGTTAGCAGTAGAGTGTTCTCCAGTGAGGCCCTCTGCTGAGTCTGGGAGTGAAAGATCTGTGAGGGAGACGAATGGAGAAGAGGCTAGAGCAGTAAGCACAGGGGAAGCGTGAAGGATGGGCTGATGGTGTCCAGGCACTGTGATGATCCCCTGTGTTAAGGGCATTCTTTGTCCCCCTAGGAGCTGTCTACATTTTTCTACTGCTGATGCTCAGTGTTCAGTTTTCAAATGGTTATATTGGTGTTACATCAAAAGCAGCAGCATTAAAAATAAAACAAAAGAAAGGCAACTGTTCATTTATGCTTAGGCTGTTTTTGATGTAGTTTTTTAACAAGTGTCCTTAGATATTTTACAGTATATATGTGTGTATATTTTCCCCTTCTCATAAGAAAATAACTAAAAGAATTTTGCTAATATCTTCCAAAAACATCCCCTGTTGGGCAAAAACCAAGTGTGAACATTTCCACACGAAAAGGTGACTATTTCATGAAGATGTGTATGAATACATGGGATTACAATGGAAATCCCATTACATGTTTAGCCATGACAGTCTGCCCCATAGTAATTCATTTTTTTTTCCTAACTGCAGTAACTGTACTAGATTTGTGTAGTTCTGATATTCTTGAAGTGCTTCAGGGGAATGATTTAGCAACTGTAAGTCCATAAGTAATGCAGACTAGGATAAACTGTCCAAAATGCTAATGAATTCCAAGATTTTTATATAACCTTAAATAATATTTACAAGGAAATCCTGTCATTAATTTCATCAGCACTATTACTGCTAAATAGTAGTTTAAACTAAAAACTGTAAACATATTTTAAACATCTTCCCCACCTCCTAAAGTATACAGTGGTCAATCTTAAAATTTTTGCCTTAGTTAACTATATAATGTTAACTCAATATGCACTGCATTCCATGTTCCAAGTATGCATCATACTGAGGTGACCATAATTATTTATCAGAGGCAGAATTGGCTAGATTGACAGTGCAACCACTGTATTTAATGCTCATGGAAAGTGCTGGGTTTACCATACTGGAAGTTGTCATCTCCAGTTTATTCTCTAGAGTAGGTACAGCACAGCAGCTTCAATGCAAGCTTCCCCAGTGTGCGTAACCCTGATCTGGGGTGAGAAGGTAGTCCCATCTCCATGTCTCTTCTATCCCTACAGATTGCCCAACAAAGTGAGCAGATACCAGTTGTGATGTATTGTGATGACACTTTTTCATGTGGAACTAGGCTTAAAACCCTGTCATTTCACATAGTTCAGCTGTCACATTTTAACTCCTTGGTCTTAACTTAAACAGCGGTCTAGAGATGAAAGGCTTCATATCTCACTGTTAATTCCCAGAGCTGGTATAAATTCCCTGGAAGCACTAAAATATATACATATATCACAGGAGTATTTCAAACATTCTTTTTTCTAATACTTTCTGTTCTTGTTTACTTTTTAAGGGATGATACTTCAGCTGCAAATGACAACTGAAGGTGGTTGGTTTTAACAATATGTATATTATTGTCACCATCAGAGTTACTCAATAGCCATTTTCTCCCTTCCTTTCTTCCTTTCTTCTCTGCTGTTTTTTCCTCCATATTATCTTCAGACTGGTATCTTTCAGGCTTGGGGCCACTGCCCCTCCATGCACAGTCTCTGGTTGGTGCAGATCGGGTCTCCCCCTCAATACACAAACTCCGGCAACACCGCCCCTTGGGGCGCACGCAGTCTGCTCCCCTTCCCCAGAATGCCCAGGCCCTCCAGCAGTTAGTGATCCAGCAACAGCATCAACAGTTCCTGGAGAAACACAAACAGCAATTCCAGCAACAGCAACTTCACATTAACAAGGTAGGCAAACTGATTGTAAATGCTTTCTTGCTCATGCAATTTTAATGTAGCCTTTAGCTAACGTTCTTATATAATGGTTTCTCTCACTATAATATGTATGGCCTCTAACAATATAATCAATTACTCTTCATCCTTAGATCTCTTTTTCATAATTTTGTGAAATATATTAGGCTACATACAGTGGTTTATTCATATTATCATCTAGGTAAGAAATGATACCTCTGATGCAGATGCTGGGAAAGGAAGTACAATTTAAGCTACTGGTTTTCCAACCATATTTTCAAAACTCTTTATGCTGCCATTCATCCACATCAGCATCATATCCAGCTCTAGAGAGGAGAGCATACAAATGCTGTCAAGGAATATAGGGGAAAATGGATATATTGTACTTATATTTTGCTTGAAGAAGGAGGAGAAAGAATGTAGTATAAAGCGGTATACTATAATAAAAGTAAAGTAAAAGATTCCATTGATGATAAACTAAAAATTAATTGGGGAAAGGGTGTTTCTACTTGAGGCTGTTCAGAGTTATTTAAGGTTTGCTCACCAGGATAATCTTCTGAGAGAGAGTAATGGGACTGAGCACCTGAGTGGGAGCCAGAAACTCCTGACTTCCATTCCCAGCTCCAATGCCAACCCCCCCACCTATGGCCTTGGGCACATCATTTATCTTCTCTGCCTCCATTTCCCCATCTGAAAATGGGGACTTCTCCTAGCCCAAAGGGGTTTTGTGAGTATTAATTAGTTAATATTTATAAAGTGCTTTGAAGATGGAAAGTGCTATCTGTGTTTAAGTATTCTCACTTTCCATGAAGCACCTGGAGAACAGCTGAAAAGTATACGTATGTTGCACAAAGCTGTTCACCAGTACACAAATATTGCATTCACTTTGCAGGTCAGATAGATTATGGTGTACAGATAGATTATCTGTAGCAAAGAAGAGGTTATTTCAACTTGTTGTGCAGGTATGTTTTTTCAAAGACAAAATGGTTCGCATACGTGAGGATAGAATCTGAATTTAAAACTTGTCCTTGAAACACATGGAGGAAGATCTCAGCTGGTGTAAGTGGAGCTATGGCAATTTACCCCATCTGCTAATCTGTCCCACTTCTTTGGAAGGTAAAGTCAGCAGCTAGTCATTACAATAAAAAGAAAGCTGCTTTGAGTGTGGGATAGATCATAAATGTTTATAATTATTTTTAGTTCTGTTCTGACCGTCATAGTTGTACTAGTATTAAAAAAAAAAAAAAAAAATTCTCAAGGAGCCCCAGTTGCGGTTTCTTAAAAAATCCCCCCACAAACTGACAGATTCTGAAAGAAAACTCAGCCTGCCAGTTTGATTTTCAGAGTGCTGTGGTTAGATTTCGGGTGGACATTTCTCCAAATATTTTCACTGTTCCAGTTATATGAGAAAATATAACTACTAGAAGCTGGATTAGCCTCATTGAGTGGTGGCCCATATAAAATCTTTCCAGTAAAAGAGAGAGTCACAATTTAACCCCCAAACACTTTGTTTATAGACTAAAGCTGAGTTGGGATGATTACACAAGCTACTGACGTCAATCTTGTACTTCTGGATATTTGCCACTTTGCTGTGCATGTGCCAGCCCTGGACGTCATTCAGGCTAGCGTACTGATGTGGTGTGGAGCTGCTGTTGCTGTGGAGATTTCCCTTACCTCACTCTAAACATGCTTTGTGTAGTGAAGTTCAAAATCGGGATTGCTGGAAGCAGGCAGTAGGTTCAGTTTCTTTGTTAGTAAGTAACTTGCACTTCAGTGGCTTGTTTGTTGAGTTTTTAAAGACTTCCCTTGCCAACACTTGTAAGTGTCCAAAGACTTCACTGTGACGTACCTACTGAATTCATTGAGGCTTTCATTTAGACCTCCCAGGAGTTTGACGTGCGTGTGTGATATTGTGCAGACTGATGCCTCTTTCAGTAGCCTGAACTCAGACCTAGATAAAATTGTGATGTGTCATGTCCATGGAAAAAGGAAAAAAAACATAGCTGAACGAGGACAATTTCCATTTGTTTTACTTGTTAAAGTAATGAGTTAAAATGCTTTAAAATACTGCGTGTGGGGCAGTTTTATCACATCGGATAACATCCAAATGCTGACATGGAAAAGTGTATTCTCAGAACACTCAGATATGTCAGGGCCCTTCTATGTAGTGTAGCAGCATAACTAACAATCACGTAATGGATTATTGTCTTTTAATTATAGGCAAGGCTCATGGCACTCTGTTTTCAGTTGCTTATGGTTTTGCCAAACGTTTACAATTTGCTTTCAAATTTTGCATGTCAGATGTCTGCCTCAGGCTGAATTTTGAGGAAACTTTTCTGCCAAAATAGTTCAAACTTTTCTGAGAACAAGGCTGGGGGGAAAAAACATGCGTTGCCGATGTTAAAAAAATTCTGGCTATGTTTTCTTTAAAATTTCTAGTCCCCCATCCTTTGGAGCAGGGACTTGACATTTGAATGCAAGGTGGCCTTTGTGTCACAGATGTGCCTTTTGCCATCCCCATGAAAATCCACCCAAATTGGCCAAGTTGAACTTTCAAAAATTGCCATTTGTACAGGCTCAGTGGAGACTTCTTAGAGTTTAGTTGCTCAAATCTCCAAAGATTCAGTCCTCATGGAGTGAGTTCTCACAGCTCCTAGTGATGACCAGACTATGCATGTGCCATCCCAGCTGAAGACATGCCATCCCCTCACAGCTCCTAGCACTGACTGAACATGTGCCATCCTCACAGAGCAGCTGAGCATGCACCATCTCCTCACAGCTCCTGTGTATGGGAAGCAATGCTTGTGCCTGCCCCAGAGAGTGACTGTGCATGCTCCATTCCAGGGATACGGAGCAAAGCCATGCTCTCCCTGTAATGATTGCTCAGAATCAGGGTGGTGCTGAGCACTGGAACTGAGAGCAGTGAGCCTGTCTCTGCTGTGATACTTGGAAATTACACACAAAAATGTAAATTAAAAGAACATTAAGGTTGCAAAGTCAAGCATTCAGAAGGTAGGAAATGCCAGAAATAAAGTTGACTGCAATTTTAATTCACCCACTTTATGCATATGATACTCCTGAGGGAATTCTGTGCAAATAAAAATAAAAATTCTGCGCATAGTATTTTAAAATTCTGCATATTTTATTTTTCAAAATAAGACAATATAATCACACCATTTTCAATCATTTGCTGGCAACTATTTTGAAATAAATTACCAAAATAATTGAAAAAGGTGTGATTATATTTTTATGGTGTTACTGTGCTATTTTGAACAACTAAAATATGCAGAATTTTAAAATGTTTAATTTTTTGGCGCAGAATTCCCTCAAGAGTACCAGGGTTCTGTTTGGCGCAATCTGGGTGCAGGCAGCTCGGTGGGGGGTCTGGGTATGGGGAGGAGAGAATCTGGATGCACGGGGGCTCGGTAGGGGGGGTTGGGTGCAGGGGGAATTGGACTCTGCAGGGGAGTTCAGGTGAAAGTGATTAGGGCTCAGTGTGGGAGGCTGGGGGAGTGGGGCTTGGTGGGTCAGGGTGCAACTGGTTGGGGCTCAGTGGGGTGGGGGTCAGTGTATAGGGGGGCTCCCAGTGCAGGGGGTGAGGCTCAGTGGGGTGGGGGTTCAGAGGGCTTGGTGGAGGGGGTTCTGGGTGCAGGGGGCTCCTGATATGGGGGGCAGAGTTGGTTGAGTGGTTCCAGGTGCGGGGAGGGGTCACTGTACGGGGAGCTGCTTCCCCTGTTCACCCAATCCCCGTGCATCCCGGACAACCCCTCCCTCCGTCCCCCCCCGCCCGCTCCCAGCCTCCCCCCGGCTAAGCCTCACCCCCCACACTCGGAACACCCATCCCATCAAGCCTCACCTCCTGCACCCAGACCCCCCAGTTCCCATCTGCATAATAGGCTTAACTACGCCACTATGAGGTGTGGATTTTTTACATTTCTGAGAGACGTAGCTCTGTGAATGTAAGTTTCCAGTGTAGATCAGCACTAAGACTTGACTTAATAGGCTACAACCCTTGTCTAAAGCAGTTTCTCACCCTTGAAGTCTTTCTGCAGAGTTTGTTGGTTTTCAGTCAATCCAGGATCCATTCCTTCATGAATCACCCCCTCCCCCCTCCCCCCCTCCCCCGCCAATAGCATCCTCAGTGAAATGATTTTCTCCTTGAACCCTGTTATAGTCCAGTAGCCCTTTGAAATGCATTCCTATGGTTGTTCCCCGGTGTACTGCTGCAATATTGTGCTCACATTTCTCCCCCCCTCCCATCAGTTTGTTTTCCCTATTGATTTTGCATGCCAGTATAGCTCCCATTGTTTTTGGCTCACAATGGTTAATCTGCCTAACACAGAGAGATAACTACTTTGCCTCTGAACTGGAAGAAACTTGTTTCTCCCTTTATTTGGTTACAGACTTTAATGCCTAATATTAGTTTGTATATTTAATTTCTCATGTAGTGTTAGTACATAAACTTCACAGTGATATTAGTGACCCGTGTGTCACCAACTTCCATTTGACACCTCACATGATATTCTTTATAGCTAGATTCTGCAACAGCAATGTGTTAGGTGTAATGAATTTGTCAGGCGTGGTCGGAGTTGCTGACAGAACAGGAAACCCTTTGCCAGTTGGTACGGAGGGGCTCTTCGGGTCACAGTCACATGGACTCCCAAACATTTGGGAACTGAGGTTGCAAAGCGAGTGTGACAGCTGGAGGAAACAAGCTTATTAGCAGCACTTGACTAAGTACAGGGCAGCATGAATCTTGGTGTTTATTTTTGTAGTTGTGGTACAAATCACCAAGCACAACTTTTCTCTCCTATAGCAACTAAAATACTCGACTTCAGCTTCATTTTGTAAGATGCAATTTATGAGTATGTCAGAAAGAGGCTTGGCAAACAGGGAAACAGGAAACCCAGACAAGAACAAATCTGTCACTCGTTTGCTTCTGGGTTTTTACTGCCAAATGGTTGTTTCCTTGCGGACGTTGAATGAAGTGGAGCAGCCTGCAAAGCATACAGGCTTTAGGGGATTCCAATTTCTTGAGAGAAAAATCAAACAACAAAAAAAGAGGATCATTGTTACTTAGGACATTGTTTCCCCGATAAAAGATTAATAGGCTAACCCAGTCTTTTTCTTTACTATAATTATCCTTTTGTTTTGGAGCTAGTTTGTAAGAAATACTAAGTCACTTTTTATTTTGCTTTCATTAAGCTGATTCTTTAGTTGAGAACATAGTCAGCTTTAACTCTGATGTGTTACACTTTATTTATCAGTTAACCTCTGGGATGTTTTCAGATGATACCAAAACCGAACGAGCCAGCCCGCCAGCATGAAAGCCACCCTGAGGAGACAGAAGAGGAGTTACGAGAACACCAAGCGCTTTTGGAGGAGCCATACAGTGACCGAGTCTCAAGCCAAAAGGAGATGCAAGGGTTGGCCAATATGGTGCAGGTGAAGCAAGAGCCCCTTGAGAGCGATGAAGAGGAAACAGAGCCACCACCGGAACTAGAGCCAGGGCAGAGGCAAGCTGAACAGGAGCTGCTCTTCCGTCAGGTAAGATACAACCGAGTGAGAATGTGTCTACAAAGTGGTCTCTTAGAATATGATGGAAGCAGACTGGCATTGTACTGTTGGTAAGCTTCTGCTGCCACCGTCTGCTCTGTACCTGTTTTGTGGCTATGTAAAGATGGGGTATTTGAGATAAGTTCGCAGAGGTAGTAATATGGATTAATATCAGTAATAATGAAATAGCTAGAAGGGCAGTGTATGCTAGCATAGCTCAGCAGGGTGTTTCAATGAGAGAGATATAGACTATCTTCCTCTTGGTGGAGGCAGAAGTAGTGCTGAGCTGCTGCTTTTTTTTAATATTTGCCAGCATGCCAAAACATCCCCAGCAGTGTGAAGGGCACAGATGCCTGGGAAAACCCCACAGCACAGTGAGCTGCATGCTGGATAGGTCCCCTTCGAAGTAGGACAGAGCAGTAGTGGACAGAGGACTGAAGCCCTGGCGGTACCATACGTTGGTCTGATCCATTTTGAGGACTGAGCCAACTGCTTGCTGGGTAGCAGTGTTATCATCATTTTGCTGTACACACTATAACTTGGTGCTGTATTCAGATCATATACAGTAAAAGCTGTGTTATCCGTCACTTTATCAACCAGAAAGCTCTTTTAACTGGCATTTCTGATATCCCCCAATGCAAATTTTCAATCTAGTAACCGGGACTAGTTTACTGCCCAGCACGTTATGCAACTGCACATTCTGCACTCTACTTTTATGCAAAAGAGGCAGAAGACAAGTCAGCAAGCTGATATCAGGGATTGATTCAAAAAAGCCGCTTCCAGGTGTGTCATAGGGTCATTACAGACAGATTCAGCCCAATCTCCTACACCATCTATATTTACAATGATAATTGATGTTGATAATGACGACCCTGAGCACTGCAAGATCCTGAAGTGCCTTCTGAATCATCAAAGGAAGATTCAGTTATGTTCAATATAGTTTTAGTATTAAGTGTATTTTTAGTGATCTGGGTATATGCCAGGCGCGGCCCATAGTGATATGTGGTGTCATAAGATACCCTCCTGTATAGAAAACTTTACCTGTATATACCTAAGTGCTTCAAGAAACCAACCACTCTGCAGGGCAGTACTACTCCTGGATTGGTGAGTACCTGTCTCCTCTTTTATACTTTATTCATTTTACTGTATTCTAATTCTTTGAAAATTGTTATTCCATTGGTAAGGATAGCTTAGTTAACTGGAATTTTTGACTGACTGGCACCCCCATTCTCCCAACATGCTGGATAACAAAACTTTTACTGTACAATTATAATTGATTTTAAAGGGACAAGTATGTGTGAATCATAGAGTATTTATAAAAAGAAAAGGAGTACCTGTGGCACCTTAGAGACTAACAAGAATGCATCCGATGAAGTGAGCTGTAGCTCACGAAAGCTCATGCTCAAATAAATTCGTTAGTCTCTAAGGTGCCACAAGTGCTCCTTTTCTTTTTGCGAATACAGACTAACACGGCTGCTGCTCTGAAACCTGTCAGAGTATTTATAATTGGTATACATTTGAAGTACATGTCGATTAACTACATGAACTACATTAACTTTGCCGGCCGGCTGAGCAGCAGTTCTGCAGAAGAGGACCTGGGGATTGACTGGCTGAGCAGCAGTTCTGCAGAAGAGGACCTGGGGATTACAGTGGACGAGAAGCTGGATATGAGTCAGCAGTGTGCCCTTGTTGCCAAGAAGGCTAACGGCATATTGGGCTGCATTAGTAGGAGCATTGCCAGCAGATCGAGGGACGTGATTGTTCCCCTCTATTTGGCACTGGTGAGGCCACATCTGGAGTACTGTGTCCAGTTTTGTGGCCCCCACTACAGAAGGGATGTGGACATATTGGAGAGAGGGCAACAAAAGTGATCAGGGGGCTGGGGCACATGACTTAAGAGGAGAAGCTGAGAGAACTGGGCTTCTTTAGTCTGCAGAAGAGAAGAGTGAGGGGAGATTTGATAGCAGCCTTCAACTACCTGAAGAGGGGTTCCAATGAGGATGGAGCTCGGCTGTTCTCAGTGGTGGCACATGACAGAACAAGAAGCAGTGGTCTCAAGTTGCAGTGGGAGAGGTCTAGGTTGAATATTAGGAAAAGCGTATTCACTAGGAAGGTGGTGAAGCACTGGTATGGGTTGCCTGGGGGTGGGGGAAGAGGGTAGAATCTCCATCATTAGAGGCTTTTAAGGTCCGGCTTGACAAAGTCCTGGCTGGGATGATTTAGTGGGTGTTGGTCCTGCTTTGAGCAGGGGGTTGGACTAGATGACCTCCTGAGGTCCCTTCCAACCCTAATCTTCTATGATTCTATGAAAGCATTTCTAAAATTAACCCAGTCATCTAATAAGTTTAATAAGCAAAGAATAATGAAGTACTTATCCTTAGAATTATAGAAATTAAATAATATATCAATAAGCATCATCACATTGCCATGTCTAAATATGGTTAGAAGATAGACGGGCTAGAGGTATCGTTACATGGCTGTATATTGAACCCCTTTAGAAGAGGAGTAAGGACAGCAGTGCACCTATGTATGGTCCACAGAGATGATAGCACTTGAATTTTATGAATATAGTATTATGTGCTTCAGTACAAGCGGGGAGTGAGGGGAGGTACTGTCACAAGACAATGCAATTAGGACCTGATCCAAAGTCCATTTAAGTCAATAAGAGTTTTTTCATTGACTTCCATGGGCTTTACCTAAAGCAACTGAGAGGTATGTTACAAATTGGTGAATCCCCATTGCCTGTGGAAAATAATGTTAGCTGTAATTGCAGCATGATGCAACCTTTGGAAACATTTCCATGTCCTTTGGGATTTAGCTGGAACACAACACTCTTCACCATGAGATGTTTGCTGGCCAGCATACCAAGTCATCTGCAGACGTTGCATACAGGAAGTGTGGCTGGATTGACGGGGGGAAGCGAAGCATCAGGGCAAAACTGTATATTCCTTGTAACGACTTATACACAGTACACATCGTTCCAGGTTTATTAGCTTGGTTGAAAGTATGCAAATTGGACTTGCATTTAGGCAGAAAGAAAGCAGTGATTATTTCTAATGTCCATGCCCCTGCTTTTGTCAGATTCAGACACTGTAGGGCAGCCTTCTCCGCCGTACCATCAACACATGACTTGTCCACTAAAGAACAATGTGCCAACCCTAGGAAACAAATGTCATTTCTTTAGAAAATAAAGTGGAATTCCTGCGTGACTGGTTTGCGCCACTCTGACAGCACAAAACAATTTTAAAGCTAGGGCATCTGGCTGCTCGAGGCTTCCTCCTAATTGAAGGAATCTTCAGGTGATATTTGTGCTAAAACTGCTCCTATGCTACCTCCCCTCCATGCAGCCCAGACAGGCGGCATCACAGATGTATTCCTTTGGTTAGCTGATCCCCAGCTACAGGAGCAGCCCTGAGCGTTAAGGAGAGCAGCCTCCAGACCACAGGATGCTCATTGCATGCAATACAATTAGGATATATAAATTAACATAGAGTATTTTGCACTGGGTTCTGTATACCTTGTAGGCCAGGTCTGTGGATTAAAGATGAAGGAAACAAGTGCCTGATTGTATCTAATCTATACCTAGAAAGTCAAGAAAACAGAAAAATACTTAATACTGTTAGAAAAAAAAATCCTGAGATGCCTTCATTAAATAGATCAGCCTTGTAAACGGTGAATAATACAGGCAAATAAATTGTGACTTCTGCACAGGAATACCTAGAATTCCAAAGGTGACTGTTAAACAGCGTTCATTTACTTGTTTGGTATCATGTTAGGCCTTGAACGTAAACAGAGTAGGTGTTACGTAAGCCCGTGCTCAAGACCTGGACATCTCTGCCAGTGGTCACTTGTCATAATTCTGCTTCTCTGTTCCCTTTGCTAATATAACTGGCCAGATTCTCAACTGGTGAGAATTGATGTAGCTCCATTGAAGTCAGTGATTCTGTGCCGCTTTATGCCAGTTGAGGCTTTGGTCCTTTCTTTTCTGCTGTAGTATGGTAACATTTGTTGTAAATCACTGATTTTTATCAGGAGGCTGTGTGTGTTTCTGGCATTGTACAGTTCTAGTTTGGTTTTTAAAGATAAAATATATGCTCTTTTGCCTCCGAACTCCAGAAATCTGTGTCTTATGGTCCAGCCCACAGAAAAAGCCATGATCTGTGAAAATAGTAGTAACTTCTCAGTGTGTCACCATACTTGGGCAGAAAAAAACCCATATTCATATATTAATAAACATTGCATAAAGTGGCTAGGAGTGGGGAAAACTTGTGCAAGGTGCATGCAGGACTGTCCTCCTGACCTGCATGGCTGTTTAAGTATGGTGGATGCTGTTTAAAGTATGTTTGTGTATGTAGATAGATGGCCACATCCAGCAATAGAATACCCACTAACAGAAGGTGTGGTGTGGGAAGCAGTCACTAAAATGGAGCTAAATGCTGTGAAAGCTCAGTTGAAAGTGTTGTTAAAGTTCACCTCACCTTGGTTTTGAATCTGTATTAGCTATTCAAAATATAGTGCACGTTTGTAGTTGTGGGCCTCTTTTACTCCTCCTATATAAGAGAAAAAGTGAGTCTCTTAAAATAAACAAATACATCTTTGATTAGTAGATGTTAGCAGGCTGAGGATTTTGTTTAAGTCGAGCTGTCAGCCCCAGATTGAAGGGGGAAGAGGAAGGGTATTTTTTGTACGGAATCCTCGGCCCTGGAAGCAGCCTCCTCTGTAGGACTAGCACAGCAGAAGTTTGTTGACCTTGTGGAAATGCTGAGAGACCTGTGCATTACGAATAGCAGGGAGTCAAATGAGGCTCAAGTGGCTGTAACATCATTACCTTCAAATATCTCCCAAAGGCATCATGTCCTGGCAGCAGTAAAAAGGGGGAAGGTGTCAGCTGACCCAAGTTGTGTTACTGGCCCCACTCTCTTTTCAGTACTTAAATCCCAAGCAACCTAGTTAAAGTGCATTAGTTCAAAACTTATTAACCTCCCATGTGGACACTCTCATTCAGAAGTAAAATGGTCTTAGTTCATTTTAGTTTAATCCACTTTGGGAACTAAAGTCAGTGCTCTGAGGTTGCACTATGCATTCTCTCCCTCAGGTGCTTGCTGGCTGGTTCTTGCCACATGCACAGGATTGGTCTAACAGTGGTCTAATTGGCAGCCAGTGGGCCAGATCTGGCCTGCAGTGCGGTTCCATATGGCCATCAGAAGCGTCCACACACACCCAACGTCCCACCCCACAGCACACCTGCTCTGCAAAATGGCATCATCTGCGCAGCATAATCTCATATGCTGTATGTGAACAATTATGCTGCATGGAGGACACCATGTTCTACACCATGTATTTCTGTGTGTGGACTGCAGAGGTGCCCCACAACTGGCATCCAGCCCACAGCACTGAAAAGGTTGTCCCACCCAGTGCCCAGTGGTAGCAAAGGAATATTTCCCCTAGGTCAGCTCGGCAGGGGTCCTGAGGTAAATTTTGCCTTCCTCTGCAGGTTTCTTGCTGGGATCATCTGGATGTATCTTGTGTAATTGCCTGCCATTGCAAAGACCTCAGGCACTGGTACATCTCAGTACCCCCTATTCTCCACATGTGGCACATAATAGTTTGGTCTCCTGATTTCTGTAATACTTTGGTTTAATTTCAGTTATTGGGTTTAGTGTGTGGGTGTCGGGTCATCCTGGTGGCCTGTGATATACAGAAGGTGACACTCACCTTAAATTCTTTGACTATTTCTAAAGTAGACAGTCTATGCAGTGTTTTAATGTGATTTAACTTAACACCTTCAGTTAATTTGTCTTAATTGTTTCTGGGTGTCCGCACAAGTATATGAGCTTGGCACTGCCTTGGTCCTGACCCTTGTCTGATAGATCAATATGGGAAAGCCATTTAGTGAAGGGTCCTCCACTGGGAACATTCTGCCATCAGCCCTGATCCATTCACAGGTAGGGCCTCTGGGTAATAACTCCATGTGCAGCTCTCAACTATTACACACATTCAGAAGGAGAGTGGTGGTCTTGAGTAGCAAAAATGTAAATCATGTAAGGCTGCAAAGTCAGCATGTGGGTTTGTATCCAAAAGCAAATTCGAGCTTTTTAAAAGCTGCACTTGAATAGCTGTGTAAGGGTGCGTAGACTCTGTAGTGTGAGTGAGTGTGTACTATGTCCCTGATTCAGAGCTCATGGAATTTAATGGGACCTTTTCCACTGTTTCCTTGGGCTTTGGATCAGGCCTTTATTTTAGCACACCTTCATATATATATTTTTAATGTATGTGTGTGTTCACTGTATCCAGGAAACAAACCAAAACTCCAAACAAAATTGTTTTTAAAATTCTGTGCCAACATTTTTTTATTGTGATATTTGCATGAACCGTCCCCTTATATTCCTTTCCATCCTCCCCAACAGCAAGCCCTTCTACTGGAGCAGCAACGCATTCACCAGCTGAGAAACTACCAGGCATCAATGGAGGCAGCTGGCATCCCAGTGTCTTTTGGAGGACATCGGCCTCTGTCTCGTGCACAGTCCTCACCTGCATCTGCCACCTTCCCCATGTCCGTACAGGAGCCACCCACTAAGCCAAGGTTCACAACAGGTAATGTTTCAGGGCACTGGAGGGTGATTGGATGTGGCTGTGACCGTGTAGAAGGGGAATGGGTAACACTAACACATCGTTGGAGGAGGCAAGGATTGCCCTCCCGTGAAAAAGCCACCCCCAAACCTGGTGTATTCCCAACTATCAGTTGGAGGCCAGGACATTATTCTGGCTGTGGCTAATCCCAGGCTCTGTGGCTAAGTAGGGGGTGGAACAATCTGGGTCAGTCATTATACACCATATTCCTTCTTCCCCTTCCTCCTCCCCTCCCCCAGTCCACACCCTCCATCACCAAAGGGAGAGATCCTAAAAAGGGAGAATACTATATATGTATTTTGAATAAGCTTTAAAAAAAAAGTGAAAGTGATGCAGTGTTATGACTGTACACTCCCAGAAACAAGGCCAATTCAGACTAAACCAGGCGGTTGATGTAAACATGAGGAAGGAAGAAGCACAGCGTGATTGATAAAGGACAATATACCAAGCAACGCTTCTAGCCTGAACTCTGAATTTACTTCCAAGCAGATTTTGGACCATGTTCTCTGCCCCAGTTCAAGCCCTTTTGCACCTCCTAAGTGTCACAAAGAGGCTGTGGTCTGGCTGCAGCAGCCTAGTTGTGAATTCCTCCCGGGGACGGGGGAAACTCTCAGTTATTGTATCATTGGCATAGGAGCTAGCTCTGCCAATCAGCTCCTGCTCTTCCCTGGTGTAAGGAGCAGGAAGGGGGTATGTCAGAGGCAGATCACTTTAGAGATGGCATATGGTAGCCAGTTGTCTTAAGGTAGGATAGCCGTCGGATTACCTGATGGCCTGACCCTCCTGCACTGAATGGATATTTGTGTAGGAGAGAGACATTGGTTTTAAATAGATTTTTTACAGTTTGATTTCACTATTGCATTGCAAGAGAGAGGGCGAGAGAGAAAGAAAAGAAAAATATTCAGTCCATACTGTAAGTGGTCTGGCAGCTGAGCTTAAATTGTAAATATGCAATAATGGGCTTTTTTATAACATTTTATAATATTGTTTTCTTGTTATAGTCCAAACTAGCCCCATCATGGAAGGTAGGTAGGCACAATTCCTCATTCTTGGATCAGCTACCAAAGTGTGTAAATATTTGTAGGATGCTGTTCTCCCCCAGAGACCAAAAGAAAGAAAAGTTTGCTCCTTCCTAAGCCATTAAGGACCATCATCAAAATCCTTTCAAATGCATTCTATTTTCTTTGAAAAAAGAAAAGGAGTACTTGTGGCACCTGAGAGACTAACCAATTTATTCGAGCATAAGCTTTCATGAGCTGTAGCTCACGAAAGCTCATGCTCAAATAAATTGGTTAGTCTCTAAGGTGCCACAAGTACTCCTTTTCTTTTTGCGAATACAGACTAACACGGCTGTTACTCTGAAACCATTCTATTTTCTTTGGTAAATTCTGTTTTGGGTAATCTGTCATTATATGGAGTTTTTCAGTTCCTATGTTAGGTAGTTACAAAGAGTTTTGTAACTGATTTCTTCCCAACGTACCAAAGGCCGTTAATGAATGTGACTGTGTGCAAAAAAGTCTCAGGCCAAATCACAATTCCTGTTTTTCTTTTCTTTGCGCTAAATAACTTTAAGTGGATAAACCAGTATTTTTCCACACCAGGTGTCATAAATATAAAGGGAAGGGTAAACCCCTTTGAAATCCCTCCTGGCCAGGGGAAAGCTCCTCTCACCTGTAAAGGGTTAAGAAGCTAAAGGTAACCTCGCTGGCACCTGACCAAAATGACCAATGAGGAGACAAGATACTTTCAAAAGCTGGGAGGAGGGAGAGGAACAAAGGGGGTCTGTGTCTGTCTGTAGTCGTCTTGGCCAGGGACAGAACAGGAATGGAGTCTTAGAACTTTTAGTAAGTAATCTAGCTAGGTATGTGTTAGATTATGGTTTCTTTAAATGGCTGAGAAAAGCATTGTGCTGAATAGAATAACTATTTCTGTCTGTGTATCTTTTTTGTAACTTAAGGTTTTGCCTAGAGGGGTTCTCTATGTTTTTGAATCTAATTACCCTGTAAGATATCTACCATCCTGATTTTACAGGGGGGATTTCTTTATTTCTATTTACTTCTATTTTTTATTAAAAGTCTTCTTGTAAAAACTGAATGCTTTTTCATTGTTCTCAGATCCAAGGGTTTGGGTCTGTGGTCACCTATGCAAATTGGTGAGGCTTTTTATCCAACATTTCCCAGGAAAGGGGGGTGCAAGTGTTGGGAGGATTGTTCATTGTTCTTAAGATCCAAGGGTCTGGGTCTGTAGTCACCTAGGCAAATTGGTGAGGCTTTTTACCAAACCTTGTCCAGGAAGTGGGGTGCAAGGTTTTGGGAAGTATTTTGGGGGGAAAGACGCGTCCAAACAGCTCTTCCCCAGTAACCAGTATTAGTTTGGTGGTGGTAGCGGCCATTCCAAGGATAACGGGTGTAATATTTTGTACCTTGGGGAAGTTTTGACCTAAGCTGGTAAAGATAAGCTTAGGAGGTTTTTCATGCAGGTCCCCACATCTGTACCCTAGAGTTCAGAGTGGGGGAGGAACCTTGACAGTGCAAAAAAGTCTCAGGCCAAATCACAATTCCTGTTTTTCTTTTCTTTGCGCTAAATAACTTTAAGTGGATAAACCAGTATTTTTCCACACCAGGAAAGACAATCAGCTTGGTCTGTAAGTTTGTTGGCCTACATTAATAACAGCAGTTAGATGTAAAGTGTGAGCCTTTGGTGCCTGTGCATGCCGGCTGGGAATTTGGGTATGCATGTCTAGCAGTGCACATGCTCAAGCAGTTGCCTGCTTATTGAAAATCAGGCCTTATAATGTCAAGTTTTTATAATGTCTGCATACCTGGATTTCTAATGGAAACAACAATAAGCAGTCAGTAGTGGCACCAGAAAGGGCAAGGATACAATAGTGTGTGTTGGCATTTTCAAAGGATCCTAAGGGAATTAGGCACCCAAACCCCATTGAAGGTCAGTGAGCACCTAGTTCTCTTAGGCCACTTTGAAAATCCCAGTCTTCAAGATTATGGATCCTACATACATTTTAGATGTTGAGTCATGACTTGCCCTTATCTGTTTCCAGCTTCATCATTTAAGTTGCAGTATCAGTCATGTGAATCTCTACAAAATTTGACTGTACAGTAACATTTACTATCATGGGATTTACATTTTACCTAAATATGTGCCTCGTAATTTCAGTTGTAATTATATATTAGAGTGGAGTAGAGATTTTGAAAACTGTAAATAAGTTGATTTTGAAAACTGTAAATAAGTAGTGATTTTGAAAACTGTAAATAAATCTGCTCAAAATTCTACAATTGTAGACGTCAAATTAAAGAAAATAAGTGTTCAGGTAGGATTAAAAAATTGCTTAAAACGAGAAGAAACCCACATTACCTTTACATTGTATGAGACACACAATACTGTGACAAGACAATGTGCAGAGTACTTAATGTATTTTATCTGGTTAATATCCTTTTCACAACATTTAATTTGTGAAATGTTTTTAACTCTAGGGGCCCGATTCTCCGCTACCTTGAACATTGTGCTCATCATTGCGCATCATTGTGCATCATTTATACTCATGCAATGAGTGGAAAGTGGGGTGTAAAACCCTTTAAAATTCAAATGGCAGCATTTTGCACTTGCACAAGTACAGATGACAACCAACATAAGGTGCAAGGAGAGTCACAATCCTGCTGTCTGTACCATTGCAATTGGGTAATAGAAAATGTTGAGGAAAAGGAATATTTTTATGTTTTTTCCTTATACCATTATAAATGGTGCATTTAAATCCTCCTCTGCCCTTATTCGAATTGTGACTCTTTCTTTTTCTTTCTTGAGCGGGGGTGAGGGAGAATCTTTTAGACAAGTGTTTTTGGTACATATCTTATTACCTTGGCTGGAAAGGAATGTTCCATTTTATTACTGCAGCTCAGAGTAACAGAAGAGCTTTCAGATTTTAAAACATTAATATTTCAGTGAGCTAGTCACAGAATGTAAAAGCAAAATGTTTCAGGCATACTCCATTCACATTCTAGAAGAGATTTACCCGATTAGATTTGGTACAGAGAGTTACTTTCTTGAATTGAAGTTCTGCCCACTTGATATAGAAAATACTGATTTGGAGGGTGGGGAATGAAAATTTTTTAAGATATTTGTAAGGACAAACAGAGAAAAGCTCTAGGGCATTCTGTCACAACATGGTCTCACACACACAGCCATAGTTATACTGGAAAAGATTCAGTTGTAATGGTGACTATTTTTGAAGTCTAATATTGTAATTAAGTGCCTTGAATTTTACAGTAAATTAGGATTTGAAATTAATTTTTAAATAATCCACTTTTTAAGAAGTGGCTTGAAAAGAGAATCTGGGTTTGAGGTCCTAACCAAACTGACCAAAGAGGTCAACAGACTCCAATAGTGCATCTTTAAAAGATCAGCCTCGTGTAAACTAAGCAAATGAATTAAAAATTGCCTCTAATTTTTTATCACTTTTATTTCTAAAGTGTATAGTAAATCCTTCTAATGCATTTTCTTGGGAGAGTTAGGAACATCGATATGCCGTACAGAATCAAATCACTGGGTCTTTCTATTTCATTATCCTGTCTCTAGCAGTAACCAGTTCCTAATGCTTGAAGGGTATATTGCAGGGAAAATATGCGGGGGGGGAGGGGTGCGGTGCATACTGCATATTTGAGGAGTGTGTTGCATTAGTACATATGAAATTGAAAACAACCCTTCCTGCTTATTGCAGGCAATCAGTTTCATGTCCTGAAGCATGACATTGTACTTGTGCTATGTGAGAGGAAAGTAGATGTAAACCCTGCAAACTCGGAATGGCAGTAGTTTGCATTTGCACAAGGGTAAATGACAACTAGCATAAGGTTGGTTACATTAGAGGTCTAACCCTGTGTTCTTGCTAACACAAGTAGATCCATTGACATTAATTGGAATTCTGGTGCATGTACAATTTTACTCACTTGAATAAGGATTCCCGAGTTGGGCCATTGGTTTGCAGTTATCCAGCTTCTGATCTCCTGTGAAGATGAATTCCATAAATTATTCTAATATTCTGTGTTAAAGCATTTTTTTATTTCTGATGAAGGGCATTTATTCTCTTCTCTGCAGAAGCAATATAATGATCTGAACCTCAAATCATATGTTTATCCTGCCAAGAAAAGCCGGTTGGCTTTAGTACTGACCTTTAAAAATGATTGTTCCCACACCTGGGGGAATATTTTTCCAGCAATGAACCTGTAATGGCCAAAGTAGTTTTGTATTTTAAATGTAAATGGTCAAGCATTTACTTTTTCTCTATGCAACACAGTGTCCTCAATTAGAGGAAGTTCAGTCCTACTCTTTCCCGTAGCTATAGATGTTAAAAACGGGGAATAATGCATAAATACTATACAAGATAAACTTCAGTGAATTACTGCTGTTGTCACTGTTTAACCAGGGGTGGGAAGAGTTTTAGAATTTAATTAGATTGGACTTTTTCTGAATTATGGTTCCTCTCCAAACTTACCTAAGGAGAATATGTAGCCCATCCTACCATCACCTCTTCTGTAAATGTATGAATTTATCTATATAAAATACTGTACCATCTGTTTTTTATCCGTAAGCACACACCCATGTGATATGTACATGCATGTCCCCTATATATAATAGGTATATATTTGAGATAGAGACAGAGCAAAATCCAGTGTTCTTTCCCGGTGCTGAAGTCAAAAACAATAGCTAACCATTCTACTAGCCCACATCCTCTCTTCAACTTCAGTTTGTGTTGTTTGGTATTGCCCAAACAGTTCCTAATGGAGCAGAATAATTCAGAAAGAAGCAGACAGGTGGGCACTCTTATAAATATTTGTTGTAAAGCCCTGATTAATTGAACTTTGGTTAACTTAATCATTTAGTTAACGAGAGCTCCATTCTGTCCTCTGGAGCGGTAGTGTGTGTTTTCCTGCACTCAGAGGTTCCAAAACCTGGAGCAGAGTGAGGAATTGCCAGACAACTTCCCCTAATGGCTGAAAGGGTCAGCACTGGCCCCAGTGCACAGTGGAAAGACAGCTTTGGCAAACTGGTTGGCTTTCAAAGGAGCAACACTAATAGCAAATCTATCCTGCATCCTCTGGACCCCCTGATATTTCAAAGATTTTTGGGTGCTCCCCAACATAAACTTATCTCTGACTTAAGGGAAGGCTAGAACTAAACTTTTCACTATGTCCGTTTTGTTTAAGCAAAAAATGTCATCCTTTATTCCCCAGAGTACACAATTGTGGAAAAACTGGTAGTTTTGTTCAGTGGTGTATTTGACCTAAACTCTCAAATCCTGGTCCAGAAGTGTAACTGGGTGGAAGTGTAACATGTATCAGAGTCACCTACATTGTTGAGATTGGATAAATCTTGTTTCACAGGGATTCAGCCTCTTGACTCCCATGTTTAAAGGAAATAACACTGCTAAATTCCCATGTAACGCATTGAATAGTTATCCCTAAGTGTGTGCTAATAAACTGCTTTCCATGTACCTTGAATCTTGTGTTGCCAAGTAACCTTGATGTGAAGACTTTAAAGCAAACTATTTTATGGAGCAAAGACCCTTCCAAGGATGTATCCGCTTGTTCCTTAATCCAAAAACCTGGAAGCATTTTATCAGCAGTTGTAATAGCACTTAATGTGAGAGTCATAGAAATATAGTGTCCTTTTATAATGCTTTCTTATACTCATGTCTGCCTAAATCTGTGCTTTCACCTGCTTTCATTTGTACATCTGCTTTTATAAACCGTACAGATTCGTCCTCTAGTAGTATTAATGATTCATTTCTTTTCCAAATACACTGAGAATTTCCAACAGGGAGAAGTCAGTGCATGATTGATAATACAGTGCCACCTTAGAAGTTAAGAACACAGGACAGAGAGAGGGAGGGATAGCTCAGTGGTTTGAGCATTGGCCTGCTAAACCCAGGGTTGTGAGTTCAATTCTTGAGGGGGCCATTTAGGGACTGTGGCAAAAATTGGGGTTGGTCCTGATTTGAGCAGGGGTTTGGACTAGATGACCTCCTGAGGCCCCTTCCAACCCTGATATATATATACTATGACTGGAATCCTGGATCACTGACTCCAGTCCCCACAATTTTACTACAATTTTGTTTTCCTAATGCTCTTCATCCGCTTGTGGAATGAATATTTCCATTGTGTAGGGTTTCTGTTCAATACAATGTGCTCTAGTCCACAGCAGAGGGTTTTTTTTTCCATGTCTCACGAGATAGTTTCTTTATTGCAAGCAATTTTTGTAACTTCTGCTGCAGGCCTTGTCTATGACACCTTGATGCTGAAACACCAGTGTACCTGTGGAAACACAAACAGCCACCCAGAGCATGCAGGGAGAATCCAGAGCATCTGGTCCCGGCTTCAAGAGACAGGCCTCCGTGGCAAGTGTGAGGTAATAAGTACTGCCACAGGAATGGGCAGACATGTAGTTTGTCATGTGTTTGGGAGGGAGAGAACAGACTTGGCATTTTGGTTCTGCTGCAGGTTTTCATGTGTGCATTTTAAGGGACTCCAACATTCTGCTTTTAAAGACCAGCATCCTGAATTTGCAACTTGGATCTCTGATTGCCACATGGGCACACAAACTAGTACCAGATTCTGTTCTTAGATTTTCATGGATCTGACTGCAGGCTGGGTTCTTCCAAATGTGTCTTATGTTTAACCCATTCATACATAACTGTTTCTATTTGTCTGTTTGTATCTGCCATGAATGCTTTTCTGGTTGTCCACTTTCATTGCATTACTGTGACTTTTACAATCACAGAATTCATAGAACTCCATAGTGTATGTCTGGCCAACAGTTATTGCAATATTTGCAGTAGGAGTCAGTCGTGTAATTTTTTGGTATTACTCTCACTAAAGTGAAATACTTATATAGCATTGACTCTTGCAGGAGTTCAATATCTATTGCTATTGTAAATTAAGTTTTGTATTTTAACCCCAGGCCATAATAACAGGAGTTATTGGTTAAACTCGATCCTTAATTTGCTATTTCCAGTGCTTCTGTGGCATTTTTTTTCCTTTTAATATTGTGGTGAACTTGATGGTCTAGCTAAGATTGATGTCCTGCAAAAGAAGAAGGGGTTTTAATGGGATTTATGGTCCTGCAGATCAGAGAGTCAGTATGGTTTGTATTAATTTAGTTGTCCATCTCTGCTGTGGAGACCAGGAGGAGACTAACGAAGGCACACAGATGTAACTAAATTCCTATAAAGAAAAGGAGTACTTGTGGCACCTTAGAGACTAACCAATTTATTTGAGCATGAGCTTTCGTGAGCTACAGCTCACTTCATCAGATGTTTACCGTGGAAACTGCAGCAGACTTTATATACACACAGAGAATATGAAACAATACCTCCTCCCACCCCACTGTCCTGCTGGTAATAGCAGGACAGTGGGGTGGGAGGAGGTATTGTTTCATATTCTCTGTGTGTATATAAAGTCTGCTGCAGTTTCCACGGTAAACATCTGATGAAGTGAGCTGTAGCTCACGAAAGCTCATGCTCAAATAAATTGGTTAGTCTCTAAGGTGCCACAAGTACTCCTTTTCTTTTTGCGAATACAGACTAACACGGCTGTTCCTCTGAAACCTAAATTCCTATAATATTGGTTTATCTTGAGGAAACTGCATATTGCACAGCTTCCTCTGATTAAGCTAGTTTGATTAGAAATAATTTCTGAGCAGTAAGGAAGGTTAACCACTTGGGGGCAGCATTGTCATTAGCTAAACTTCTAGTGCTTGCATCTTTATATAGAGAACAAGAAAGAGTTGAGACTGGTTTGTGTCTGAAAAGTCAAATTGAATGGAACTTTGGGATTATTCTCTCTCTCTCTCTTTTGAAAAATATACACAAGACAAACAAACTATTGTCATTTAGGTCAGCTTTTTACGAGCAATGCTTAAACCATGCGGTATTAATTGCCTCATCTCCTACCTCTGTATCGCAGTCAGTCTCCACGTGGCAATAAAGTGCTTTGATCTGTAAAGTTTAAACAACTGTTACCCACTTTAATTTGGCCCTTCACACTGCTCCCAAGAGCGGAAATATGGGAGTTATGTTTGACACTCAACATTTTTCCTCCCACATTTCCCTGGTCTGTAATTATCTTCTGAACATTGGTAGCCTACAACCTCATCTTGACCCTGCTCTCCTGAAAGCCTTAACCATGTATTAATCACATCCTGTCTTTCCTTTGACAGTATCCTTTCTTACGATATTCCTCAGTCTCTAGTCTGTAAGCTTCCGGGTGCCCAGAATGCTATGACTCCACTGCAGCATCCAGATTCCAATGGTCTTCCTGCTCCTTCTTCTCCACTGCTTTCCTAGTTCTCTCCAAACCCGTCTCACAGCCCCTTCCCTGTCTTCAAAATGGTGCCTGGACTCCTCCCCCTTTTCCATCCCCTGGCTCATCTGCCTCCTTGCCACCCACTCACTTCATTCCTAATCTTGGAGTTCCTCTTTTCCTCCCCTCTGAGCCACTTTAATTGGGATCACTCATTAAGTTGTACTGACCCACTGAGTCATCTCTCTGGAACTTCCAAGCCCCTGAGTCACATCCTTCCTCTTCATCTCTTCTTAATACTCTCCTGTAGGTTCTAGCTCTGTAAAGGGTTACACACTGGTGTGCAGTTAAGACTATGTATACAATATATTGTTTTGTATTTAGGCAATATCAGAATGCAGGATGCAAAATATCTATAACAGGTGACTGGGGAGGAAGAATTTTCAGGTTTGAGTGACTTGTGCTGGCATGTTGGAGTCTGCCTGTCCCTTGTTTGCACTGACTCTAAATAACCCTTTTCTCTTCCCCATAAGGCTGGGGTGCACTGCAAACTGTTGCAGATATCAAGCTTCATCTATAGGTCTTATGTCAGGGAACTTGAATGGCCCAGAGGAATTGGTAGGAGTGTCTTAGAGTTTGGCTTGATTTTTCATCCCTGACATTGGAAATAGAAAGCTCCTCCTAGGCACGTTGTATACTTATTAAATACAAAAACTCTACATTAAAAGGATGTTTTGGTTGTAAAGTGAAGCTCTGAGGTGTGCTTGTCTCCCCAAAGTATATGTACAACTATGTGTTTCCTGAGAAGAATAAAATACGTTTTACTAGAAATACAGAAAAAAGGTTTGAACAACATGAAATCTACAGTATCTAAGAAGACTATGGTATTATTTAGAAGAGAGAGTGGTGTTTCTAGCCTCCCATTGGGCACAGACTTTGGGGAGACAAACACACTCAGAGCTTCACTTTACTTTTTTATTACACATGTAGGGTCAAGTCCTCCACTGGTGTTAATGGTAGTTCTCCTTTGAAATCAGCAGAGATGCAGCTGTTTTCCAGATGAAGATTTGGAGAACTGCTACCATTCTCCTCTATTTGTGCATAGTCAGATAATACAACTAACACAATGTATTATTCCAGAAAATCTTAAAAAAAAAAAAAAAAAAGGCAGCAGTTGAGGACAAGTCAGTTCATCTGTCCAGAGAACAAGAATGGCATCTAGGCAGGGGGAAAACACGAAAGAGAGAAGGGATAAAGGAATAATTGAAACAGATTGATCATGAGCAGGAAGGGAAGGCAGAAAAGAGGGGAAAGAATTTTTTCTTGGAGGTTATTTTCAAACTCGTTGGGGCTAGTGTTTTTGCAGTTACTTCGTCTGTAACATGACTCTGTATTTTGCATCAGCATTTATCCTCAGAAAATCTTAACAGTAGAGTTTAAAGAAAATAAAAACAAAAGCCGAACTTAACTGGACAGGTGACTCAAATCATGAGAGTGAAAGAAGCTTCCTGCTATGCTTTGTTTTCTTGGTTTAAGGCTTAAGGACTTTATAAAACTACCTCCTGTGCAAATACATTTTTAAACACCAGAATACGGCTTGCACCACGGATTTGAGACATCCCTTCTGATTAGCTTGATTTGTGTACCAGCATTATGCCCTACAATGTTGTCTGAAAGAAGATGCTGCCTTTGTACAGTTTAACAGGTGTCAGTGTGGCTCACTAGGTAGTGCACTCCTCTCTGGAATATCAGACATTGTAGTTGCCCAAGATTTTGAGCCCACAGCCAGTGGGGAGATTTCTGCACTAGAACAGGTGCTGAATTGTTGGAAGTATTGCTGTGCTCTGAATGAGATGTGAACCACATCCTTCCAGTTTCTGTAGTCCTGATGACTGCCCTCATGTAAAATTAAAGATATTTCATGGCAGTCCTTTCAAAACAGTAGGGATAATCCTTGGCTTGTGCTCCCATATGCATCTCTTCAGGACTGCGAGGAACAGTTTGGCCCTATCTTTAGAGGAAGTTCTGCCTTTCTCTTTTAGGAAGTTTTTAAATTGTACATTTTGGACATATAATGCTAAAAGGCAGGACTATGGGAGTTTTAATAAGTTGTCCCTTCTTGGTCTAGGCTGCAGTGGGTCTGTAGAAGAGGTGTGTAATCTGCTGAGCACTTTGTAAAGTGTGCACAAAGGCCTTGTGAATGTCTCCAGTGTGCCAATCCTTTGGCAGAGTATTCCGTAGTTTCTGGTGCTCCTGGGACCTCCACATGCTGCGAACAGAGCTCACTGATACAGGAATTCTCATATTAGTATATTGAAAATACAAATCATGCTGTCAGGAAAATGCCAAAGTTCATTCTATTCTAAAGGAAAGCCACACAAAAAAAATAACTCATTTTAGAGACACTGTGACCAAAAATACCCCAAGCACATTAGGATAAATTCTGAACCACCTAAAACACTTGTGTTTTTACACTCATATGTTTCATAAACAAAGCAACTTTTGCAGCACACTTAGCCCCCAAAAATTCTCGTTTCCACATCACCAAACGTAACGCTTTCTTGTCCAAGCTGTGTATTTCCTTTGTGACATTTTAGAGAAGGTTACAAACCCCTACTTAAAATGGAAAGTCTGTCACTTCCTTAGCTCTGGAAAGTTACTGCCTTTTCCCTAGAATGAGAGAGAATCCAAATGCCATTTTCATGTTGGGTAAAGTTCATTCTTATATCGGGGATCAGGCCAAAGTCTGTGCACTGCTTAAGTCCCACTCAACACCTCAAAATAGCACTTCATTGTTGCACAGGCCTTCTGCTGGCCCACTGCACAGAAGTGAATTTCAGTCGTAGCAATTAGACCTGAGTGAAAATGAGTTAAACATTAAGCCTTGCCCGGAATGCAGACTGAACTTTTTTTGAAATTAGGGAAAAGGTCCAAGTTGTAAAACCTTCTGGGTGAAATCCTGGCCCCATTGAAGTCAATGGGAGTTTTGCCATTGATTACACTGAAGCCAGGATTTCATTCTCTGTGTTCATCTACACTTGCTGGTTCCAGCTGTAAATAAGAGCATGGAGGAGAAACATTGTTCTGGTTTTTTTTCTGGCATACCCTAAATCAGGTCGGAATCTCAAGTCTGACCTTGCATGATCTCCAGCCCAGTTTTTAGAGCAAAAAGATTTTGATTAATCCTTAGTTGCTCCTCTGAAGAGAAGCCCCAAAGTCTTTGCCATTCAGCTATTATTAGTTGTGGTGGGATTTCTTTGTGCAGGTTTGGAACACTGTTCTTCCATCAGGGAGCAGCTTATGTGGGTGCCTCTTATTCATGGAAATGATTTGTACTACTAAATCCTGACACATCAATATGAGAATAGCTGCTGTGCAATTCAGCAAAGGTTTTGGCGCATGTATTTTTTAAGAAGTCCAAAAGGTTATTTTACATATAAATTAATGGGATTAAGCAGAAATCCTTCTCATGACTAAAAAATGTATCTTTGTGAGTAAACAAAATAAGAATTTTTGCATAAGTTTAATAAAAATATTTGTCAGCAGAAAATTGTTTTTCACCTGTAATTTAAATAAAACAAACCCTTAGTGCAATATAACTTCCAACAGTAATTCCTTTTTGCCAAAGGGAAATAAAGAGACAAGCTAGGCAATTATAGTAAATATAATTGTACCACTTCTTTCCTTTCCCCCTGCAGTGTATTCGTGGAAGAAAAGCAACTCTAGAAGAGCTACAGACAGTTCACTCGGAGGCGCATACGCTGCTGTATGGCACAAACCCTTTGAACAGACAGAAACTGGACAGCAAGAAACTTCTAGGTACAGCAGGGGATCGTGCTTCACTATCTCTTTGGTCCTACATTCATAAAGTAACGTAGTTAGCTATAACACTGACCCCGGTAGTTACTGAGTGTACACCACTCTGAATGCCACAGGTCATCTCTGCTGCGCTTCAGTGGGACGAGTGATAGAGCGTTTGGTTTCCTCTTCCTTCCAGGGTACATCTATGCTGGGGAAAAAAACATGGCAGTGAGCCTCTGAGCCTGGGTCAGGTGACTTCAGCCAGCACTTCAGGGCTGCAGGTAGCAATGTAGATGTTCCTATTCGGGTGGGAGCCCAAGATCCTTCTCCCTCACTGAGTTTCAGAGCCCGACTCCAGACCGAGTGGGGATGTCTACTCTGCTACTTTTAGCCCTGTAGAGTGAGCCCGAGTCAGTTGACCCAGACTCCTGAGACTCACTGCCGTGGTTTGTTTTTTTTTGCAATATAGAAATACCTTTATTTCCTCTATTTAAAGTGCCAAAGACCTAGAGGGACTGCCACCAAGGAGGAGAAGGTAGTTTAGTCTCCATACCCATTTTACCCTTGGACTCTCTGCTGTGCTTGTCACAGGATACCAGCTGGTGTATAGAATTTGTGATGCTGGTCCTGTCCCCCTAAGAACCGGATTCACACCATCAAACAGTTGTCAGATGGTGAGAGATGGTGACCGCAGGCAGATTTGAAATGGTGATCTAAAAGAGGGCTCTTAGCTTTTCCAGACTACTGTCCCCCTCTCAGGAGTCTGATTTGTCTTGTGTACCCACAAGTTTCACCTCACTTCAGAAACTACTTGCTTACAAAATCAGAAATAAAAATGCAAAAGTGTCACAGCACACTATTACTGAAAAATTGCTTGCTCTTTCATTTTTACTATATAATTACAAAATAAATCAATTGGAATATAAATATTGTGCTTACATATAGTGTATAATAGATAGAACCATATAAACAAGTCATTGTATGAAATTTTAGTTTGTACTGATTTCACTAGTGATTTTTCTGTAGCCTGTTGTAAAACTAGACAAATATATAGATGAGTTGATGTACCCCCGGAAGACCTCTGCGTACCCCTAGGGGTACAAGTACCCCAGTTGAGAACCACTGGTCTAAAAGAGTAAAGGTTCTGTATCCCCTTACCAGTCCCCTAACCCATCTAGTCCCATGTTCATCTTTTTCTGATGGTCCCATGCTTCATTGTTGTCAAGTGGATGAATTTTGTGTGTATTATATGTGATATGTATCATATTAAAATTACGCAGCCCTGTTAGAGTGCTCATTTCACCAAGCTAGTTCCTGGGAGCTGGGTGGGAAAAGGAAGATCTGCAGAGTAACTGTTTATTGCTAGGTTGTTTTCCAAGTATTACTGGCTGAGTGGCAAAGCATTCATTGTAATTATATAGTGGATCCTCTGAGGTTATTTTTTCCCTCTGAAGATTGGAGCCTTCCTGAATAAGGAAGAGTATATTAGTCATAGACTGTAGACTTTCCCTCTTTCCTACTGTACAAACTAGGGATTGCTGCTCAGAAAAAGACTGTACCAGTAACACCCAAGTCACATTTAAATGAACGTCTTACCTGAGTATACTCATGCAGACACCTTCTCTTCTTTTGTAATTTTCAAGTGCCTGTTACCAGCATCAGGTGATAGGTTTGAATAATAGTTTTGGAAGTTCTCATCTGGGAGTCCAGAGTAAGAGACATGGTCCTGGAATCTGCAGTTTGAGAAAACCATAGCTGGGATTGATGGTGTGAAAAGGGGATTAACCTGATGGTCTTCAGTGGAGCTAATACTCACAGTAAGAGAGCTGGCAAGGCTTTGCTCCAAGTTCAGTAGCTACGTAAAAACCCCAAAGAGGAAAACTATACAGCAGGTGTTTAAAAATCTAGCCAGCACTGTGGTTATTGCTAAGTTTGAGACAGTTACCACCTCTTCAAAATCCAGAGAAATCTGAGCTGCGAACTTCTGGCTGTGTGAGTGGCACATGCACTCTGTAAAGAAAGTCAAACGTCATGTCTTTGACAGTATAAAACTCTTGCTCTGTGTTAGACAAATAAGCAACATATACATCTTCTCCCCCACTGGATCATGACTGCCACCTTTTTTAAATGAAACCGAGCATGCCATCAAAAACGTGGGCAGCTGGGGGTGGTGTTTATTAGGTAGAAGAGTGCTATTCCAAAGGTGTATCTGATACTTGGAGTAGTACAGAAGCGAAGGACGGCTGCCTATGCCCCACCCATATGCCTTGAGGTCTGGATTGCCTTGAGGTCTGTGATGTAATCCAAGCATTTTCCAAGCACTTACGATTCATAGGAATATAAGAATTGCCAGAATGGATCAGAAACATGGTCCATTTAGTCCGGTATCCTGTCTGTGACAGTGGCCAGCACCAGCGGCTTCAGAGGAAAATGGAAAAAACTGCACAGTAGGTAGATGTGGGTTAATCTGCTCCCATAAAGGTCTCGTTCTAATCCCTAATAATTAGAGATTGTTTTAAACTTTGAGGCATGAGTTTTAATATCCTTTCCGATCTACTTTTTTCATACAGGTTATTATAACTGGATATTCTTGTTATGCATGTAAATACCAAATCGTCTTTAGGTAGTCTATTATAAATATCACATTTGTACATTGTCAATTTATTATTATAAATATTATAAAATTCCCTCTTTGAATCTTGCTAAATTCTTGGTCTCGATGATCTCCTGTAGCTATGAGTTCCATGGTCAAATTATGCACTATCTGAAAAAGTATCTCCTTTGAACAGTTTTGTATTTGGCACCTTTTGGTTTCATTAAATGTCCTCTTGTTCTTCTGGTACAAGACAGGGAGAACAAAAGCTCCCAATCTACTTTTCACCATTTTCTATACTTTCATCATTTCCCTGCTGGAAAATTGTCCTGCGAGTCACGCAGTGTAAAATCCATCTACGGATGCTGTTTGCTTTTTCTCTAAGTTCGTTGCTGTTGTGAAAAGAAATAGTTTTAAATGTTTTACTTAGATGTCTGTTTTCATGATGGGCACACTTACACATTTTGACTGTTCAGAAACATGATGCCGTCTTAAGATTCCTGACAGATATAAAGTATTTTATCAACACAAAGGGTACATAAAAATCAGCCTTTTAAAAAAAAATCAAATTTTTATTTCAACCAGATAATCATTATCTAGTAAATAAGAAATGTCATTCACCTTTCTCTAACAAAAAGTGTAAAAAAAAAAAAATCAAGACCCTGAATAAACGTATATTAAGTTTTATATAATTGTTTAAATAAATGTGTATAGATATACTATATTTTTCTGGTTAGCAAATTAGTACCAAATTATATCAACAAGTGAGAATCTATCTTTCTTTAGGAAAGTAACTAAAAAAGTACAAATGTAGAACAAGAATTAAAATTGATGATTTAAATCAGAGTTTCCTGTTTACTGATTTTAAACACTGATTAAATTTGAAAAAATTTAATTTAATTTAAATTTAATTAAATTTAAATTTAAATTTAATTTACATTAAATTAAAATTTAAATTAAATTTAAATTAAATTAAATTTAAATTTAATTTAAAAAAACTATCATTATTGCTATTCTTCATTGTGTATTTGATACTTGCTTATATCCCTTTACCTGCACTTAAGTTTATAGCTGCCCCTGCCAGCTGCAATCCATAGAAAATTGCAATCCATAGAAAAACAGTAGTCAGGAATATTAGACCTTTAGATTTTGCCACATTGCCAAGGAGAGACTAATCTACCACCCCACAGTGACCTGCCGCAGTAGTACTTCTTATTACTGAAAACCCTAACACCTGACGTTCACACTGGGACGCGTACTACCCTTTGTCTTCATATAGAAATCCCGGTTGTGCCACAGGATTTCCACATAATGAAAAAGAGGAAAAAGTGGCCCTGATTTGGCAAAAGTAGTGATATATCCTGCAATCATACCTCAAAAATAATTAGCCCCATAAAACCAAACATATAATACCGTGTATTTTACTTCGCATTCAGAAGAAAGTTTCTGAATCAAAATTTCCAAACACTTCAGAGTAATTTTAAGGCAAAGAAAAAAATAAATACACAAATATAAGATAAAAGCAAACACCAATTAGACAGGACTTTGAAACAGTCTCTCTTTGCCCACATGTATAAACTAATCAGAAAAGGGAAAACTTGTTTTCAAAAAAATCCTTGCTTTTTCAGTTCAGAAACACATAATTCTAAACACAGAGCATGTCACATCTCTAAAATTGTACCCTGTTTAGAGGATAGCTTGACAATTACTGACTTCCATTCTGTTCTGTAAGTCCCTTCTGGGCTGAAACTCGCCTACTCTGACAATTTGGACAATTTTGCCAACTTGTACATGTTTCTTGGTTGAAATTTTAAAACTACCAGGGAGATCTTGAGGAGGAGGGATAGCTCAGTAGTTTGAGCATTGGTCTGCTAAACCCAGGGTTGTGAGTTCAACCCTTGAGGGGGTCATTTAGGGATCTGGGGCAAAAATTGGGGATTGATCCTGCTATGAGCCGGGGGTTGGACTAGATGACCTCCTGAGGTCTCTTCCAACCCTGATATTCTAGGATTCTATGATCTTAGATTTAACCATTTACAATGACAGTTTTTAAATGTAAACCATGAAAGACATTCCTCCTCAACATTCACAATTTAGAAGTGTGTGATCGGTCACATTCACAGCGTTTAACTGAAAAGACTCATAAGTAGCTGTTGGAAAAGAATAGAGATTCCACAGACATACATGCTTGGAAGGAGGTTGTGGTAGGGGTGGGGAGGACATCCGTGAGACAATAGTGTCTCTCTAGTGGAGACAGGGAAGAACAGAGAAATAGAAGAGATAGGATTAAAATATTGCGAATACTTATAAGTAAATTACGAAAATTAGAGGAAGGCAAAAGGTCACAGGTAAAGTAGGATAGAGAGAAAGAAAAGAGATGGGGAAAGGAAGTAATAGGGGAGATGGCATGAAAGTAAATGAATAG